ATCGGCTTCCCGCCCCACGGATGGCAATTTCTTATTTTGAAAGCCAGAATTCTAGATCCTCAAAGTTGCTTGTCTTGAATCCTTTGGACCAGGGGTCAACCCGCTGTTTCTGAATAGCAGCAGATAGTAAATATTTTTGGTTGCACAGGCCTTTCGGTCTCTGTCACAGCTTCTCAACTTGGCCACTGTAGCACAAGAGCAACTGCAGACAGTCAGTGAAGGACCTGGTAATCTTCCAATAAAACTTTTAAGAAACAGGCGGTAGGTCTGATTTGGCCCACGCACTGCCGACCCTTGCCTGAGTTTGGATCAGTGCTTGTGAAAAATCCCTGCCAAGTGCAGACTGACTGTAACTATTAATTTTGATGTGCATGTGTGGAAAATATTAATCTCCAAATCATTTTAAGAGTAAGTGTTGCCAGAATTGGCAACACTTGCTCAGGCTCAAACTTCAAATTTCTGCCTTAGGCCTATAAGCACAGGCATGTATGAATTTCAGCCCTCCCATGCTTTAGTGGTGTGACCTCAGGATAACCAAGGCAGTGCAAGGTAGTGGTTGAGAGCAAGGAACCAAGAGTTGGAAGGTTCTGAGTCAGATCTGCCACCTGCTAGGTGGATTACCTTGAGCAACTTATTAATACTTAACAGCTCTGCACCCTAGAGTCCTCGTTTATAAACTTTAGACAATAAATGTTCCTACTTTAGCAGTGTTTTGCAAGGATAAGACAGGATGTGTAGAGTACTCAGCACCGTGTCTAGAAACTGTTAAGTTTTCCGTAACTATTTGCCATTTGTCATTCGATGAAGTTGGGAAAGCGCTTAGCAGAGTTCCTAGTGCACGGTAAACTTTCAGTGAATATTTTGTCTTCCCTTTTTGTCAGGGAGGGGAACAGGGATCAAGGAGTTTCTGGGCAGGCTGGAGTGCAGTGGTGCAATCTCAGCTCACTGCAGCCTGAACCTCCCAGGCTCAAGCGATCCTCCTACCTCAGCCTTCTGAGTAGCTGGAACCACAGGCATGCACCACCACACCTGGCTAATTTTTGTGCTTTTTAAAGAGATGGGCTTTCACCGTGTTTGAGGCCAGCTGGGCAACTCCTGAGCTCCATTAATCCTTCTGCCTCGGCCTCCCAAAGTGTTGGGATTATAGGCACAAACCACCACACCCTGCCTGAAATGAATCTTGTGGCTGGTAGGGGATAGAGCAGGAGATTCTCCAGGATGGTATTCTTACACATCCACACTGAGCTCCTGGTGTGAAAAAGGAGAACTTACCTACAGAATGTCATATATCAGATTTTACTGGCACGTTGCCATGTATCTCTAAAAACCATGTTGCAGAGGGTGTGGGGTAGGTGGGACAGAGCTGGCCTGGAGGTACCGCCAGGATGTATGGTCTGGAGACAGGGTTCCAGTGCAGGCTGCATCCATCACAGGCACTGGGAGCTGAAAGGGTGGGGGACACTCCCTGGGCGTTTCCTCCACCATCTCTTCCTTATTGGATCATCCTCATCGGCACAGAACCATGCTGGTATTTCTTCCATCTTTAATTTTTTTTTTCCTTTTCTGACCTCACTTCTTCCTCCAGCAAAACCCCTCCAAAACATTGCTTGTACTTCCTGCTTTTTTTTTTTTTTTTTTTTTTTTGAGACAGAGTCTTGCTCTGCGGCCCAGGCTGGAATGCAGTGGCGCAATCTTGGCTCACTGCAACCTCCACCTCCCAGGTTCAAGGGATTCTCCTGCCTCAGCCTCCTGAGTAGCTGGGACTACAGGCGTGCACCACCACGCCCAGTTAATTTTTGTATTTTTAGTAGAAACAGGGTTTCACCATATTGGCCAGGCTGGTCTCGAACTCCTGACCTCAAATGATCCGCCCACCTTGGCCTCCAAAGTGCTGGGATTACAGGCGTGAGCCACCGCGCCCAGCCTTTCTGCCTTCTTTTAAAACTTCTCCATTCAGGCTTTTTGTCCTCAGCCATTTCACCATAACCACTCTAGTCGAGGCCACCAGTGGTCTTCATGTTGCTAAATCAGATCGATTCTCCTGTCCCTGACCTGTCAGCAGCACTGGCCTGGTGCATCGCCTCTGTGCTTTGAGGCTTTCCTCGCTTGGTGTCCTGGACACCTGCTCCTGGTGCCCCTCTTCCCTCAGTGGCTGCTTCCTTCTCAGTCTCCTTTGAGGGTTCCCCGGCTCTCCACATTCTCTTCAAGCTGGGGTGCCCAGGAGTTGGCCTTTGACATATTTCTCCGACCTGTGTTCACTCTTCTGATAATCTTACCCACTGTCAGGTTTCAGATACCATCTATTTACAGATTTGTATCTCCGACTGATTTGGTGTTGGAGACCCCACATCTTGAACCGGATGCATGGAACTCATCACCTACTCGGCACCTCCCCTTGCGTGTGTCTCTGGGCATCACAAACGTGACACGTCCACCCCCAGCACCTTGCTCTCACCCCACCCCTGCTCCCACCTGTCCGTTTCAGGTGCCGACAGCTCCACCCCGCAAGTTGCTCAGGCCACAACCCCCCGTTATCCCAGCTCTTCTTTCCCTCACACCACAGGTCCAGTCCATGAACAAAGCCTGCGGGCTCTCCCTTCAGACTGGATCCAAAACCTGACCCTTCTCACCGCCTCTGTTGCCACCACACTGGTTCAGGTCACCAGCCTTTCTCCCGAGGGTTGTTTCTGACACTTGCTAACAGAAGTGTCATCACCTTGCCCTGTGGTCTCCTCTCAACGCAACAGCAAGTGATCCTCCTAAAATCTAAGCCATCAGGTCACTCCTCTGCCTGAAATCCCCCATGTGTCCCCACCTCACTCAAAGTAGAAGCCCAAATCCTTACTGTAGCTCTAAGACCCTGCACCTTTTGGCCTCCAGCTCCCTCTCCAGCCTCCTCTCTACCCTCCCTTCGCATTCCCCTGCCTCTCTCTGCTCCCGGCACCGCAGGCGCCGCACCCCACCTGCAGCCCCTGAACGTCCCAAGCAGGTGTTTGCCTCGCTGCTCCCTCTGTCTGGAAAGCTCTTCTCCCAGATACCCTCACCACTTCCATGTCTTTGCTGAAAGATCAGCCTCTCAGAGAGGCGTGCCCCGATGATCCTATTTGAAATTGCGTTCCTGCCCCATCCTACACTCCGTGTAACTCCTTCCCAAACTCATTTTTCTCCCCAACACTCATGACTTTATAATACACTGTAACACTGATTTCCTGTGTTTCTTTTCCGTGTTCCCTGCCTCCACCTTGAGAATGAAAACTTCGTGAAGGCAGGATTTGTTGTTTACTGCTTTTCCCCAGTGCCTAGAACAATGCCTTTTTGGGTTTGGATGGACGGATGGGTGGATGGACAGATGGGCTGGAGGCTCCCTACGCTTTCCAGCCATTGCTAACACCATGGAGTGGTCTTCCGTGGAAACACCCATTCTCCCACTGTTGCCTTGTTCCGTGATGAGGAGTCTGCGTGCACTCAAATGAAGACCCGCTGACTATGAGTTTGTCCTCTTTTGTTGTTGTTGTTTTGAGACAGAGTCTCGCTCTGTCGCCCACGATGGAGTGCAGTGGCGCGATCTCGGCTCACTGCAACCTCTGCCTCCCAGGTTCATGCTATTCTCCTGCCTCAGCCTCCCGAGTAGCTGGGACTACACGTACCTGCCACCACGCCCGGCTAATTTTTAGTATTTTTAGTAGAGACAGGGTTCTAGTGTGTTAGCCAGGATGGTCCCAATCTCTTGACCTCGTGATCAGCCCGCCTCAGCCTCCCAAAGTGCTGGGATTACAGGCTTGAGCTACCGCACCCGGCCTCTTTTTTTTTGAGAGGAAGTCTCCCTCTGTTGCCAGGCTGGAGTTCAGTGGCACAATCTCAGCTCACTGCAACCTCTACCTCCTGGGTTCAAGCGATTCTCCTGCCTCAGCCTCCCAAGTAGCTGGGACTACAGGTGCGTGCCACCCCACCCAGATAATTTTTTGTATTTTTAAAAGAGATGGGGTTTCACCGTGTTGGCCAGGCTGGTCTCGGACTCCTGATCTCGTGATCTGCCCACCTCGGCCTCCCAAAGTGCTGAGATTACAGACGTGAGCCACTGCGCCTGGTCGAGTTTGTCCTGTGTTTAAACATTTTATTTTAGATTTGCTGTAAATATTTATTATCTATATTCCTTCTATTTTATAAAACAGTAATGTGCATAACTGAAAACTTGAAAAACACAGAAAGGCAGAAAGAAGAGGGGAACACATCACCAAATTTACCCCTGAACAGCCACACTGTGACCTTGCTGTACTCCTTTGAAGGGTTTTGTTTTCCTATGCACAAGTTTGCGAGATGTGCTTTCCTTAGGTAAAAGGTAAGAAAGTCCCTGCTCTTTTCCACCTAATAATACAAGCAGCACTTTCCCCGTGAACCCAGTCATTGAGGGAGCATCATTTCTGACAGCTACCTAGTGTTTTATCAAGTGGATGAATATTTTGTATGTAACCAGTTCCCTAGCATTGGAACATTTTAATGGCTTCACATTTTTCATGATTATAAATTATGCTACAGTAAAGGGATGATTTTCTCCCAATAACAGCTTTTCTCAAATCATTAACTTGTCATTGCAAGACCCTGGGAATGGAGAATGGATCTTAGCTTGAGCAACAGTCTCCACGCAAAGGTGCTGACTGCAGAGTCATGACAGATGACAGGAGGGAAGAGGGGCAGGAGGGGCAGGTGATAGTTTAAAATTTTTTTCATTTTCATTATGAAGGTACTATGTAGTTACATACAATTTGGAAAATACATGAGTTTGGAATGTGTTCCAGCTCCAGTTTTAATTAACATGAACATGTAGGTCTTCTCGGCCTCCAACTCCATCTGTACCCACAAAAAACCTGGTCTCTTGCAAATGTGCCTTCCACCCCAGGTATTTCTGGAGTCCCCAAGGGTGACCACAAACCATTGCAGGTTTGTCTTCTATTATCATTGCTGCTGGTTTTATCATTGCCACTAGAAGCTTCCCTACCCCCTTATTCTTCATCAAAGACTTGCATTTTGCCTCTGTTAAGTGAAGGTTCAATGGTGACAGGGTGACCCACTAGGGTAAAAAAAAAAAGAAAGGAAATAGTTTACTCACTTCTGCAGCCTCTTAGGGATCCCACAGTGGGTTCACTTGAGCTCCCAGAAATTACAGGGCGGGGCGAGGTCATTCTTCACTTTGCACACCTAGCCCTTCTCTGTCTTATTCACTGCTAGGCCTGGCATGATGCCTGGCACAGAGGTGTGCCCAATTGAGATTTGTGCATTAACCTCATGAAAGAGCGAATGGCCCATCTGGCAGGAAGTACAGAGAGAGCTCCGTGAGATGACTGGCAAAGGCACCAGGTGGCGTGGCAGGGGCCGGATGGAAAGCTAGCAGCAGCCCCTCTTCCCGTTAGGCCCTCCCTTCCCTTCTCCGAGGCCCGCCCACCCAAGGAGGGGTTACTTCACTGTCAGGGGTTCCCACAGCTCCTGGCTTGCTTGCATCCCACTTACCTCTTCTCGCTGTCGGTGTCTTCCCGGGGCCTGGTGCTGGTGGGGCTGGCTGGTGGCCAAGTGTCCTTGGGGCAGAGACTGTCCTCTTTGGTATTCTCGGTGTCCCGCCAGGGCCCAGACTAGGCTGGTGCTCCACGACAGGCCAGGGGAGAGGTGAGCGAGACCCTGTGGAACATGAGTCTCTGCGTCTCACAGCTTCCAAGAAAGTGATTTCTCTACATAGGGAAGTCTAGAACTATAAACTATCTTTCAAATAAAAATCCTTTCCCAACTCATTGGAAGTGTCATTTTTATCACGCAATGCCACATTCATGTCATTCAACACGTATTTCTGGCACACTGGCTATATGCCAAGCACTGCTAGGTGCTGGGGATACTGGTATGGACAAGAGGGACACGATGGCCCAGCCGTCGCCACTCAGACTGATAAACTGGCTCATCTGGTCTTGTCGCCTCTACCCAGGAACCGGCTCAGCGCAAGAGGGTGACTTCGACTTCCTATGATGTCATCTCCAATCCGAGCAACCAGCACTCCTCACTCCCCGGACCCCTGTTCACCAAATTATCCTTCCCTGCTGGAGCCTGCAGACCACAAGAGAGGCAGACAGGAAGCACCCCCACAAACACACACATATGGGATTTCAAGAATTTATGGTTATTTATGGTCAGGGCTTTGAGAGAAGAGAATGCAATCCTGGGAAGAACTGAGGGCAGCTAGTTAATGTGAGGGGTGTGGGGCAAGTCCTCTCTTTGAAGAAAGGACAGCTGTAGTTATGCATTGATGTGTCCGTTTGTTTAGCATTCCTCGCCTCCACCCCCAGGCTAAGCTTTTAGAAGAGCAAGACCACATCTGTGTTATTTGCTGCCTTCCTACCTTCTGGTTTAACCACACGGGATCCTCGAACAGCCCTTCCCCGGCAGCTGGAACAGGTTCAGCTTGCCTTCTGCAGCAGGTGCCGGTGGCGCTCAGTGAGCCAGTCCAGGTCCTGCTCCAGCTTCTTAGCAAGTGTCCTCAGTTCCTCTGCTGTCTCTGTCCTTGCCCCATCCTCCAGGTGCTTCCAGCTCTGCAGGACGCTGCTCATGTCTTTCAGAAGTAAGAAGCCAGCCCCAGCAGCACCCATCACCCGGGCACCATTGGTCATGGCCAGAGTTGTGCCCTCAAAGGCTCTCTGCACCCCTCTAGCCCTCCAGAAAGGGATGTGTCTTGTGACCACAAAATTCTTGACCATAGCCATGAACCCAGAGTTGGCTTTGGCCATCTGGTAGGCACGAAGGTCCCTGATGCCCTTGATGGCTTTTACACACTTGTCAACACAAAAGCCAGCAGCCCCGATTTCAGACCAATTTATTTCTCCAAAAGCCTCATGTGATGTCGTCAGAGGCCCCAGTCGGCTGGCTTTGTCTCTTGCTGCTGAATCGTTCCTATTTTCTAAAACATTTGTTACTATGTTGGTGATGGCAGCTGCTGCCCCCAACCCTGTCGCAGCTGCTGAGAGCACGAGACTGTCTCCTGCTGTCACAGGTGCTAGGGCCAAACCCAGGATGCTCATGACCCCAGAAACAGCCCCAGAAGAGCTGGCCACCGGGCTGGTCTTGGTCAGCAACTTGTGAGTGGTGTCAACTTGGTCCGCAAGGATGTTAAGTTCTTTGATGTTCTGTTCTAGCTCAAATTTGTGCAAAGGAAAATACGAGAGAAACAGTCTTTCCTCCTCTGACAGACAGCCGTCTGGCATGGAATCTTTGTCACACCGCATCAGTTCTTCAAACAGAACACAGGACAGCACATCAGCCTCATCACTGTGGACAGCTGACATCAAATTGTTAATTTTCCAACTCGGCACAGGTTCACCAGTGAGGCTAAAGACATCGAGGTAATCTGAGTACTAAAATGTGTGCAGGAGGCAGAGCCCTGGGAATCGAGGTATAATATCAAAACCACCTTTGCAGAAATTCTAACAGTGGGGAAATTATGGCAGTGAAAGGGGCCTGACCTAGCCGGCTTCATCTTGCTTCTAACCTCCAAGCTGTTCTTGTTCTTTCTTCTGGGCATAGGCTCAACTAACTTTGGGAGGATCTTAGTTTATAGTTTAACTTTGAAACAAAGATGACAACAGCCCCTTCCCGAAACAAACCCCCTTCTTGCCTAGGGACCAGACTGCCTTTACAGGACTAAAAAATTAGCCATAATATTAGAAATTATAATTTAGGTGTTATTCAACCAGAGGCCACAAGATTCTAAACCTCCCCAGTTGCTCCTCGACATAACATCACTATTAGAAAACCTAACTGAGTGCTTGAGGTATTTTTCAGACCCTGCACTCAGTGGTTCAGCTGTCGCCACCCAGACTGATCAACTGGCTCATCTGGTCTTGTGGCCTCTACCCAGGAACCGGCTCAGTGCAAGACGGTGACTTTGACTTCCTATGATTTCATCTCCAACCCCAGCGATCAGTACTCCTCACTCCCTGGACCCCTACCCACCAAATTATCCTTTTAAAAAAACCAGTCCTGGCCAGGCGTGGTGGCTCATGCCTGTAATCCCAGCATTTTGGGAGGCCCAGGTGAGCGGATCACAGGGTCAGGAGTTCAAAACCAGCCTGGCCAATATGGTAAAACCCCGTCTCTACTAAAAATACAAAAGTTAGCTGGTCGTGGTGGTGGGCGCCTGTAGTCCCAGCTACTCCGGAGGCTGTGGCAGAAGAATTGCTTGAACCTGGGAAGCGGAGGTTGCAATGAGCTGAGATCGCACCACTGCACCCCAGCCTGGGCGACAGAGTGAGACTTCGTCTCAAAAAAAAAAAAACAACAACAACAACAGCAAAACCCACTCCTCGAATCTTTGGAGAAACTGACTTGAGTAATAATAAAACTCCAGTCTCCCATTCATCTGGCTCTGCATGAATTAAACTCTTGATTGCAATTCCCCTGTATTGATAAATCAACTCTATCTGGGCAGAGGGCAAAATGAACCCACTGGGCTGTTACAGTGTGGGTGGCAGACAGACAGACAGACAGAAGGTCCACTCTGGCCTGGAGCCCTGGGTGGGGGTGGCCATGTGTTTTGAGCAGGAGCACAGCTTGAACTACCCCTATGCAGGCCCAGGCTAGTGGCTTACTATTCCATTCATCCACAAACAGCTCTCTTCCAAATGTATGTGGATACCAGCCCAGGCACAGTGGCTTGTGTCTGTAATCCCAGCACTTTGGGACACCAAGGTGGATGGATCACCTGAGGTGAGGAGTTCAAGACCAGCCTGGCCAACATGGTGAAATCCCATCTCTACTAAAAATACAAAAATTAGCCAGGCATGGTAGTGGATGCCTGTAGTCCCAGATACTCAGGAGGCTGAGGCAGGAGAATCGCTTGATCCTAGGAGGCACAGGTTGCACTGAGCCGAGATCGTACCATAGCACTCCAGCCTGGGCAACAACAGTGAAACTCTGTCTCAAAAAAAATAATAATAATAATAAAATAAATGTATGGGGATACTGACGTTATGAATAAAATGTAACTTAAAAGCTTTACTGACTTTTGTCACCAAGTCTTTTCCTAAAAAAGACATATGTACATGTATACATTTATACTTTATACATATATAAGTTGTGACTAATTTGATTAAAAAACAGTACCAAAAGTATACAGAGCAGATGCCTTGATCTTCTTTCTTTCTTTTTCTTTTTTTTTTTTTTTTTTTAAAAACATGTTTGCTTGAAAATTGTGGTTGCTTCTGCACAGGGAACCTGGGACATCCGGAAATAGGATTTAAGGGGAGACTCTTTTTTTTGTTTTTGAGACGGGGTCTCACTGTATTGCCCAGGCTGGCCTCAAACTCCTGGGTTCAAGTGATGCTCCCCAGCAGCTGGGACTACAGGCACATGCAACCACACCTAGTGACACTTACTTTTTACTGTTTGCCCTTTTGTTCCTCTTAGCTTTTGTGTCATATGCATGTATGATCATTTTTAAAAATTGGTAAAAGAGGCCGGGTACGGTGGCTCAAGCCTGTAATCCCAGCACTTTGGGAGGCCGAGATGGGCGGATCACGAGGTCAGGAGATCGAGACCATCCTGGCTAACACATTGAAACCCCGTCTCTACTAAAAAAAAATACAAAAAAACTAGCCGGGCGACGTGGCAGGCGCCTGTAGTCCCAGCTACTTGGGAGGCTGAGGCAGGAGAATGTCGTAAACCCGGGAGGTGGAGCTTGCAGTGAGCTGAGATCCGGCCACTGCACTCCAGCCTGGGCGATAGAGCCAGACTCCGTCTCAAAAAAAAAAAAAAAAAAAATTGGTCGGCACATATACACCATGGAATACTATGCAGCCATAAAAAAGGATGAGTTTGTGTCCTTTGTAGGGACGTGGATGCAGCTGGAAACCATCATTCTTAGCAAACTATCACAAGAACAGAAAACCAAACACCGCATGTTCTCACTCATAGGTGGGAACTGAACAATGAGATCACTTGGACTCAGGAAGGGGAACATCACACACCGGGGCCTATCATGGGGAGGGGGGAGGGGGGAGGGATTGCATTGGGAGTTATACCTGATGTAAATGACGAGTTGATGGGTGCAGCACACCAACATGGCATAAGTATACATATGTAACAAACCTGCATGTTATGCACATGTACCCTACAACTTAAAGTATAATAATAATAAATTAATTAAAAAAAAAAAAAAAAAAGAGTCTACATTTCCAAAGCAAAAGTTTGGGGATCTCCAAGAAGACAACCACATATCCCCCTTCCACGGGAGAGGGCTCACTGTCATTCAGTTGGACAGTGTTGAATATTTTGAAAACAAAGTAGACTTTTTTTGTTTGTTTTGAGACGGAGTCTCACTCTATTGTCCAGGCTAGAGTGCAGCCGCATGATCTCGGCTCACTGCAACCTCCACCTCGAGTTCAAGCCATTCTCCTGCCTCAGCCTCCCAAGTAGTCAGGCATGAGGCACCACCATGCTGGGCTAATTTCTGTATTTTTAGTAGAGACAGGGTTTTGCCATGTTGGCCAGGCTGGTCTCGAACTCCTGACCTCAAGTGATCCACCCCTTCTCGGCCTCCCAAAGTTTTGAGATTACAGGTATGAGCCACCGCGCCTGGCCCAAAGTAGACTTCTAACAAAAGTGTGGTCATACTTAGAAATAGTGAGATCTGCTCTGGCCACTTGTTAACGGGCAAGTGACTGAAGCTTGTAAATCTTAAGAAAAAATGAGGAAAAGGGAAAAAAGGCACAACTGGGAAAATTCTCTCCACTCAAAACTTTTCCTGTAATTTTAAAAAAGAATCACCATTCAGTTTTCCTGTTGAATCATTTTGGCTCAGTATCTGGAACTTCAGGGTCATGCAGGACCTTTGAGAATCACTGTTCTTAAGAACCTTTATCTTATGGAATTTGGGACTCCCAGCGTGGGTATTGCTGGACTATGGACTGTGTGTGTGACTTTCTACAGCACGTAACATGGTCTGACTTGTATGTTCCCTAGGTTGGTTCTGGCCTGTCTCCTAATGGAGCATCTACAACAGACTTGGCTTGGGTTTGATGGATAGTGAGAGAGGGTCTATGGGAAAGGATGCAAGGCTATGGGCAAACTGTACTTGGACCAAGGAACCCCAAGGCCTGAAAGGAACTGTGGACAATGGACTTAGAATCCTCTGCTCCCTAGCCAAGGCCATTAGCAGCCTCAAGTGGACCAGCCCTGGGTCCCTCCCTCCTCCCTCCTGGGGGAAGCGGGAGGAGCCTTCTGACATCCTTCCTTGTCTTCAAGTCACTCTTTTAAGAAAGGACTTCATCGGGGTTTAAAGTGAACATCTCTGTAAACCTAGGATTTCAGTGCCCCCTCTCCAACCTAAGTTTTAGAACTATGAGATGTTAGAGCTGGAAGCCCCCTTCCAGGTCGCCTGGTACACAGATGGCAGAGGCATAACCTCCCCGCTATTGTTAGTGAGGGTGTCTAAAGCACAGGAGAATCGCGGTGCCGCATCTAGGCTCCTTGGGAAAGAGTGCTGCTGTGACCTAGTGGGCGCCGTCTAGGCGCAACACAGAAGAAAACAGTCATCTGCCACATTTTTGCCATCAATGAGCCCAGTCCCTCATTTACAGAGGAGCAAACCGGCTCCAAAAAGGAGGGACATTCCCTGATTACAACTGAGTTAGTGGTGGAGTTAGGCTAAGAACCTAGGGCCGGGCGCAGTGGCTCAGCCTGTAATCCCAGCACTTTGGGAGGCCTAGGTGGGTGGATCACTTGAGGTCAGGAGTTCGAGACCAGCCTGACCAACATGGTGAAACCCTGTCGCTACTAAAAATACAAAAATTATCCAGGTGTAGTGGTAGGCACCTGTGATCCCAGCTACTTGGGAGGCTGAGGCAGGAGAATCGCGTGAACCTGGGAGGCAGAGGTTGCAGTGAGCCAAGATCGCGCCATCGCACTCCAGGCTGGGCGACAAGAGGGAAAGCCCGTCTCCTGAAGCCTCTAGTCTGCCTCAACCACTGGCTGATTTTCCCCGAGATACAAAAAATCATCCCTCTCCCTTTACCAAAGGAGGAGAGGTGAACATTGTACAAGCACATAGGAAGGGCCCCCGTTAACTCCGGTCCACGCAGCATGTATCGGCCAGTAGCCAAAGTCAAGGACACGGATAAGTAAAATGGTTGTGCCTGTGCCTGAAAAGTCAATGCCTTTTTTGGGAGCTTTCCCAGACTTAATGAGAGCCTTAGGGGGAAATCTTGACAGCAGAGGTGGGAGAGAGAACAGTAGAGGGAGGTTGGGCCAAGGACACTGAGAAGTGAATGACTGTACCTGTGCCTGAAAGCGCAGGCAACCCATTTGCATGACGCATGAAGATTTTATCTTTAGGCGCTTGGCTGCTATAAATTGCGGGAGCATTGCAACCCACTTTAGAGAACCTTATGGACGCTTTGGCAAGAGTGAAGTGCAGCCTCTGTTAGGCAGCAGAGTCTGTTGTGAGTCTATTGCTGCAGCCGAGCTCTGTAGGAGAGTCTGAACGCCCAGGCCAAGGCAATAGAAAGGCACGTCCCAGGAGCTTGGATCTCAAGGCAAGACTCAGACACTGTCATGGGTTGGGAAAGGGTGAAGGCAGACCCAGGAAGGAATATTCCTGGATTGGGAGAAAACCAGCAAATTCTGCTTCTAGGATTCCATTGCCCTCTAAGCCATGTGTCTAGGCATCTATCCATATACAATGTACTTACCATTACCAAAAGATTTTTTTTTTTTTTTTTTTTTTGATGAAGTCTTGCTCTGTCTCCCAGGCTAGAGTGCAGTAGTGGTGCGATCTTGGCTCACTGCAACCTCTGCCTCACGGGTTCAAGCAATTCTCCTGCCTCAGCCCCCCATGTAGCTGGGATTACAGGCATGCTCCACCACACCTAGCTAATTTCTGTATTTTTAGTAGAGACAAGGTTTCACCAGGTTGGCCAGTCTGGTCTTGAACTCCTGACCTCAAGTGATCCGCCCACCTCGGCCTCCCAAAATTCTGGGATTACAAGCATGAGCCACCGTGCCTGCACTTACCAAAGGTTTTACATTTTTTTTTACTAAGATATTTTTTATGCGGATGTGTATGTTTTTCCCCTTTTTTGCATATCTCCAATTGCACATGAGACAACATGAGCAACGCGTCAGCCAACTTGGTTGGAACCCATTTGTAGTTTCATCCTATGAAGGTGGCTACAGATCTGGATATTAACAATCAGATTTTATTCCTTCATTCAAATACTCATTGACGGCTAGGCGTGGTGGCTCACACCTGTAATCCCAGCACATTGGGAGGCCAAGGTAGGCGGAGCATTTGAGGTCATGAGTTAAAGACCAGCCTGGCCAACATGGCAAAACTCCGTCTCTACAAACAATATAAAAATTAGCCAGGCGTGGTGGCAGGCGTCTGTAATCCCAGCTACTCAGGAGGCTGAGGCAGGAGAATCACTTGAACCAGGGAGGCAGAGGCTGCAGTGAGCTGAGATCGTGCCACTGCACTCCAACCTGGGTGACAGAGAAGAGACTCTGTCTCAAAACAAAACAAAACAAAACAAAACAAAACCCAAATACTCATTGAGTGCCGGGTCTGTGCCAGACACCATTTTAGATGCTGGGATTGTGGCCATAAGCATAACAGTCCGTTCTCTGCCCTTACAGAACTCAGGCTCTGGGGACTTCCCCCGGACCTCACCTCCGTAGATTACCTTTGGAAGCCACATTTCTTCACAACCTTCTCCCAAGCCTGGAGATGGACGAAGATTAGGGACATTTCTTCTTGAGTCATCTCAGTCCAAAAAGACATAACAGCGCTCCAGGAAAGTCGGCTGTCTAATTACAATATTGGAGAACTAGAAAAAAAAAAAAAAAAGTTAGAATACAACAAAAATCTTGATGTCTCAGAAATGTCACATGATTTTTGTCTAATGATTTTAACCCAACAAACCATGGGAATGCCCAAGGCTGACTAGGATGCAATAGAACTGAAAATCTCTTAGGCTTCTGGTGGCAATGTTGACATTATACATTAATGAAATGGGAGTGGGCGGGGAAGTGCTGCATAGAGAAGGGCTTGGTCCCTGGTGAGTGTTCCACCCTCCGGCCTGGGCCCATGGATCTAAGTGAGGACAAGCATTTCTGTTTTCGTTCCCAAATGTTGCATTTTCCAAGACCTCTCTGGCTCGCCATGTCCCCACCTAGCAGGCAGACACACACAAGCAGCTGGACATCGAGAGGAACACACAGGCAGAACACACCGACAGATGCTGACAAGTCATCCACGGCTGGATGACACGGAATTCAGCCAAAGGCAGTTGGAGGAGAACCCAGCCGCTGAGTGGCCCAACTCCAGGGGAAGACCACCTTCCCACTCCATCCCCTTTCTGGCTCCCCATCCATCTGCTGAGAGCTACATTCAATAAAACCTTGCACTCATTCTCCAAGCCCACGTGTGATCCAATTTTTCTGGCATACTAGGGCAAGAACCCTGGAATACAGAAATTAGACCAGAGCTCTGCCTTATCCTTCCAATAAGCTCCCTGGGGCTTCGGGAGCTGCAAACACTGAACCCTAGGCGGCACTGCTGTGGGGTCGGAGCCCATGCTCCTCACGACCTGCACGTCTGTATGCTGCCCCTAGGGGTTTGAGCTGCAGGGCACCGAAGAAGTGAGCCACAGCCTGTTTTATACCCTGCAAGGGGGATAAGGGAAACTTTTCCCATTCCATTAAGTCACAAAAATCTTCTGAGAATCATCCAATAACACAATGATAGGCACCAAGACAATCGGGGCCATGTTATTGATAACACTGTTAACTTGGGAGCAAGTGAACGATCATTCTGTCCAGTGCCTATCATCTATAATCCTGAGAGAGGCACAGTCTGGTCCCTGCTGAATGACACCTGCCTGATGACACGGCTCGTTGGCGGGATGGTGGTTGGTTTTGCCCAGGCAGGCAACACGGCAGAGTCCACCTTGTTCAGACACTCTTTCTCACATTGCAGCTTCTTTTGTTGCTCAAAAATCACTTTAAATGTATTTTCAATATAATTTGACAAAAAAATTGTCAAATTTGACAAAAAATATAATTTGACAAAAATCACCGCTAGTTCCATTACTATTGATTTTATTCTCTACTTCCAGTAATTTTTCAAATCCGTATTATTTCTTGCATGGTTTTTATACTTATAATGGTGTGTCCTGTTTTTATTATTTATTATTATTTTTTTTTTGAGATGGTCTCACTCTGTCACCCAGGTTGGAATGCAGCGGTGCGATCTCGGCTCACTGCAACCTCCACCTCCTGGGTTCAAGTGATTGTCCTGTCTCAGCCTCCCGAGTCATTGGAATTATAGGTGTGCACCACCATGCCCAGCTAATTCTTGTATTTGTAGTAGAGATGAGGGTTTCACCATGTTGGCCAGGCTGGTCTCAAACTCCCAACCTCAGGTGATCCATCTGCCTCAGCCTCCCAAAGTGCTGGGATTACAGGCATGAGCCGATGTGGCCAGCCACGTGCCCTGTTTTTAAAATGTAATGTTATACAAGTATTTTCCATCTTGCTATGCAGTTGTTACAATGATTATTTTTGATGAGTCTATGCTGTTTCCTTAACAGAAGATGTATTGTCCTGTTTATAGAAACACTCCCTTATCACGGCACTTTGGCATCTTTTTTTTTTTTTTTTTTTGAGACGGGGTCTTGCTCTGTTGTCCAGGCTGCAGTGCAGTAGCACTATCTCCCGGTTCAAGTAATTCTCCTGCCTCAGCCTCCCAAGTAGCTGGGACTACAGGTGCGCACTACCAACCTGGCTAATTTTTTTGTATTTTTAGAAGAGACAGGGTGTCAACATGTTGGCCAGGCTAATCTCAAACTCCTGGCCTCAAGTCATCTGCCTACGTTGGCCTCCCAAAGTGTTGGGATTACAGGCGTGAGCCACCGTGCCCAACCGTGCTTTGGGGTCTTAACACTTTTGTTATCCAGATGAGTTCTTTGATAATGTTGCCACCTTGTCCTGCCTGCTGCCTCTACTGTAACCAGTGATAGAACCAGTGATTGGCCCCTTCCCCGCTGCCACACTGCTTCATGCAGGGGCCTCAGGAGCTGCTTAGGTTTTTAGTTAAACTTTACATTTTTAGTTAAACTTTACAAAGGAAGTTATTTGATGTAGTATTTTCAAACACGAGCAGTTGAGAGGGTCTCAGGATGACTCCCTCATTAAGGCTAAGGATCTGCTGTATCTCCACCCAGCAATAGCATATGGCTTCCCAGGGAGTCACGGCTTCCATTTTCTTTCACATAAGACTTGTTGATTCTTTACATTTGTTGCTAACGTGTATTTCTTTGATGTTGTACATTGTTTTGATGCAATTACGAATAGTGGTCTTTTAATGTAATGTTTTCTAACTTGTCTTGTTACCTATAGAAATGTTACTCATTTTTAATACTCTCGTGCTTGACTACATGTTTATTACTGTAGTAGTTATTGAATGAATAATTCATGAATGAATAATGCTGGACTTTTATTTCTGTTTTTAGTATTTGGTTTTCTTATGTTGGTTTCATGCCTTATTGGGTTTCCTTGGATCCTTATTTTATATTATGATATTGACTCTAGTATTTCACAGTTGGCAGTTGGTTTTCATCATGATAAGGCAGTGTGTTTTATTCCTATACTTAGACATTTTTATTAGGACTAAGTGTGGAATTTTCAAACTCCAATGAGATGATTATTCTTTTCCTTTTTTGTTTATCCCATGAATGTGGTGCATTCTTAGCATAGATTTCCATATATTGAATTACCCATACATTCCATGAAAACCCCCAACTTGGTCAGTGCATATTTTTGAATCAGAATGTTATAGATTTATATCCTCTAGTATTTTATTCCTATATTCATCATAGAGAAATACATGATATTGAGCCATAGTTTTCTTGTGATCACAGTTTATCATCAGTGTTATATTTGCTTCACAGAATGTATTCAATAGCGTATTTTTTCTATTTCTGGGACAATTTGTACAACATGAGAATTGCTTGTTTTCTGAAAGCTTAAGAGAACTTACCAGGTAACACCTTGGAACCAGAAACTTGCAAATTTCCTCATTTGCCACATGGGATGCTTTAGATTTTTTTTAAATTTAAGCTTATAATATGATTAATAAATGTGACTCCCTTCCCCATTCCTGAAACCTGTCTCTCCCAGTCCTCACCTAAGTCTATTTTTTTTCTTTTTCTTTTTTTCTTTTTTTTTTTTTTTTGCAATGGAGGCTCTCTCTGTCGCCCAGGCTGGAGTGCAGTGGTATCATCTCAGTCACTGCAACCTCCGCCACCTGAGTTCAAGCGACTCTCCTGCCTCAGCCTTCTGAGTAGCTGGGATTACAGGTGCCTGCCACCATGCCTGGCTAAGTTTTGTATTTTTAGTAGAGACAGGGTTTCACCATGATGGTCAGGCTGGTCTTAAACTCCTGACCTCAGGTGATCTGCCCGCCTCAGCCTCTCAAAATGCTGGGATTACAGGCACAAGCCACCGCACCCAGCCTGCCTATTCTTTTTTGAAGAGACTTAAAAAACCCTAGCAAAGTCCATGGTCTTTCAAACTGCACCTGGTTCTAATTTTCTATGTACAATTATATCTTATGTTCTTTGAACAGGTGTTTCACAAAAGAAGTACTGTGGCCAGTAAATATAGGACAAGGCGCTTGACATCACTAGTCGCCCCAAAACACAAATTTAGACCATGGCCAGCTGCTGTTTCATTGATTAGTTTGGCATCCTGTGTGGGCGAAAGAGAGACAGGAGAACACGTACACTTGGTTGAGACATAAGACCCTTGGCTGAGCATAAGATTAGATTGCTTTTGTTTTTTTTTTTTTTTTTTTGAGAGCGAGTCTCGCTCTGTCACCCAGGCTGGAGTGTGGTGGCACGATCTCGGCTCACTACCTCTGCCTGCCAGGTTCAGGTGATTCTCCCACCTCAGCCTCCCAAGTAGCTGGGATTACATGCACCCACCACCACGCCAGGTTAATTTTTATATTTTAAGTAGAGATGGGGTTTCGCCCTGTTGGCCAGGCTGGTCTCGAACTCCTGACCTCAGGTGATCCACCCATCTTGGCTTCACAAAGTGCCGGGATTACAGGCGTGAGCCACTGCACTCGGCCGCTATGGCTTTTGGAAGGATGATTTAGGGTATCTTTCTTTTTTTGTTTTGGAGATGGTCTCATTTTGGCAACTACGCTGGAGTGCAGTGACACAATCTCGGCTCACCGCAGTAACCTCCCAGGCTCAAGTGATCCTCCTATCTTACCCCCCCAAGTGGCTGGGACTACATGTGTGTGCCACCATGCCCAGCTAATATATATATATATTTGTGGAGATGGGGATTCGCCATGTTGCCCAGGCTGATCTCTAACTCCTGAGCTCAAACAATCCACCCTCCTTGGCCTCCCAAAGTGCCAGGATTACAGGCGTAAGCCACTGCACCTGGCCTTCTCAGGGTGTCTCTTAACATGAGAAGTACACATGCCTGACATTCAGCATCCCACCTGTAGAAATTCACCCACCACAGACACAACACAATGGCAGGTACACAGACAAACGTGTACGGATGTTCATCCAGTTATTTGAAGTTGTATAAAGGAAATGGAAACAATTTGAAAAATCCATGTCTGGGACTGTTTACATGAAAATAGAGCAATACAAAATAAAGGCTTATGGATGTGAAAAGGAACGAGGCAAATCTATGTAAAACTGACCTAGAAAGAGGTCTAGGATATATTAAGCAAAAGAAAAGAGGTTGAAGAAAATGTTCTTTATATTCTTTTCTCATTTTTTTTAAAGTACTATATATGTGATGTAGGAGTAGGGGAATATTCTCGAAGGAGATACACCAAACGTGAACAGGCTTAGGGAGTGAGATTTAGGGCTGGGGTGACAAAATACTTTTGCACTTTTCGCTCATCTATGTTATTGAGCTTTGTTACCAAAGTAACATGTTAGTTTTATAATAAAAGCCAATAGAAGCCAGGCATGGTGGCTCACGCCTGTAATCCCAGCACTTTGGGAGGCTGAGGCAGGCAGATCACTTGAGGTCAGGAGTTTGAGACCAGCCTGGCCAACATGGTGAAACGCTATCTCTACTAAAAATACAAAAATTAGCCGGGCATGGTGGGGGCACCTGTAGTCCCAGCTACTCGGGAGGCTGAGGCAGGAGAATCTCTTGAACCCAGGAGGTGGAGGTTGAAGTGAGCTGAGATTGCACCACTGCACTCCAGGCTGGGTGACAGAGCAAGACTCCGTCTCAACAACAACAAAAGCCAATAGAATAAAAAGAGTTTAATAATGAGATTTATTATTCATTTTTTATCATTATAAAATCTCCAGCTTGTATAGTAATGCATGGGGTGCTGGGAATGCTGCCAAGCACATGGTAAGACAAAGAAAGTCTGACAAATTCATACTATTAAATATTCATATTGTCTTCTTTGTTTGTTTGTTCTGTGTAAGTTTTTCTAACTTGTTATTTTGGCCTTTTGTGTCCTATTTATTTCAGGCTATCTCTTAGATGTAGAAAATTACTCAAATCTGATTTTGACCCAATTTGATACTCTTCTTCATGTTATTCATATTCATATTAATTATTTTCTGTTATAATTGTTCAACTTTGATTTGTCGCATTATTTTAGGCATTCTGCTTTGTATTTCTTTGCTCTCTTCCTATGCTCTACATAGATAGGTACGGTGCAGAGGTTTCAGCTGATGCAGCGAGTGGTTTATTGTGGCAGCCCGGAGCTTCACCTTGAAGGTAGAGATGTGTCTTATCTGTGCTTTCCTGCCTATTCTGTGTATGACCAGTAAATGGCAGATACTGAACAACACTTAGAATAAGACTTCATTGTTCATGACACTAAGTTTTGTTTTCTTATGTATGTATTTAATTTTTGATATACAGTCTTGCTCTGCGGCCCAGGCTGGAGTACAGTGGCATGATCTCAGTTTTGCAACCTCTGCCTCCCTGGTTCAAGCGATTCTCCTGCCTCAGCCTCCTGAGTAGCTGGGATTATGGGTGTGCACCACCATGCCCAGTTAATTTTTGTATTCTTAATAGAGACAGGGTTTCACCATGTTGACCAGGCTGTCGACCTCCTGGCCTCAGGTGATCCATCCGGCCACTTCAGCCTCCCAAAGTGCTGGGATTAAAGTCCTGAGCCACTGAGCCCAGCTGACACTAAGTTTTTTATGTTTAAATATTGCTCAGCCCTCCCTGCTGTACCAGGCTAGAATAGATCTTGGGAGATGACTCTATTACACTTTATTTTGGGGAGGAGGCAAGAAGGGAGTGAGCAAGGCTGAGACCCAGCAAAGGCAGAGGATGATCAAATAGCGGGAGTGGGAGAACCACTGGACGGGTTCTGGGTCTGTCCATCAAACGGGCTCATAGTTTCCTTCCAGTTAAAATCATCTCGTATGCAACTTCTGTGCTTTATACATAGGAAGAGAGGTCAAACAACGTCAACTTGTGTTTGATTATGTACACAGCTGTTTCGTGAACCATCATATTTCATAATCGATCCATTTCTGATAATTTAAAAATGCGTCTTCCACTGAGAAAGCTCAGAATATCACACCGAGGGGTGAGAAAAAACTGCCCTTCTCCCCTTGCTTTGCCTCACATCTCCCAAAGAGGGTGTTGGACTCTTCTGATTGGTTTCCATTACAAGACACCCAGGGGGTCACCTTTAGTGGAGGCTGTGGCCACTGTGCTCAGGGATCACACACAGATGCAAGAAGCCCGCTCCTCGCTCCTGCCTCCTCTCTCAACATGGAGTTTGAGTTCATTTATCTTGCTTTCTCACCTCTTCTCAGCCAGGCACCCTGCACTCATCGCTGGAGGACAGAGTGGTCCTGAACTTGGAGTCTGGTTTCAGAGAGAGGGAGAGGCTCGTATAGACCTAAGCCATGTAGTTCAGTCCATTCTGCCAGAGACCTCCAATCTGGAGAGTCAGCCCCATGCCAGAAGGTAAAATGAGGCATTGTCCTTTTCTGCTGCTACTGTTTGCCATTGTCCCTCATGCTAAAATGTCCCTCGGGGGCCATGTAGTGAGAAGGCATGGCTGGGCCAAAAACAAATCTGGAATTCTCGACCACACAATCAGATAGCAGTGCCTGAACTGACCACAAAACTGAACTCATTAAGAGTTGCAGGCGTGGCCGGGCGTGGTGGCTCAGGCCTGCAATCCCAGCACTTTGGGAGGCCGAGGCGGGCGGATCACAAGGTCAGGAGATCGAGACCATCCTGGCGAACACAGTGAAACCCCATTTCTACTAA